TCGTAGTCTCGGTGAACCCACTCTGCTTCATTGGCAGCTTTTCTGCTGTAGATACGTACCCTTTGTCCGAATTCACACGTCAAGAGCAAGTGCCTTGGTGGTCCTTCGGTATCCTCGTTGTGTGTATGCTTGCGGATTGGAAGCTTCATTCTGAGGTTGTTCAACTGCGTGGGTGAACAGACCCACGGGCGCCAACAGGGTAAGTCCCACATTGGAAGTTATCCGAGCTCGGGCGTCTCCACTGGTTTCATTCTTCGGGCGCTGTGGGTTGACGGGCAACCTTAACCATAGCCGCTGCCTCCCCTGACGGCTTAATTTTGGGGTCCAACAAGAAGGCCCGCAGGCGACGGGCGGGAGCCCGCGCGGTCGGCGCGGGCGGGGGGCGCGGCGGCGGAGTCGACCGCGCTGCCCTCCATCTCGAGTCCTCGAGTCCTCGAGTCCTCCTCCTCCTCCTCCTCTTCTTCTTCCTCCTCCCACTCCTCCTCCTGCTCCTCCTCCTCCTCGTGGCATGCGCTCGGTGGCGGGCGCTTCCTGGCCCTGCCGCCTGGGCGACGGTGTGCTGCGTGCTATCTCGGGCGCCCGTGCTGCAGTGGACCCCTTCCTACGGTCCACCGTGATACAGTCGGGGCCCTGAAGAAGGGACCCTTTTCGTTGGGGAGGGGCTCGGTGTTCCTTGATTGTTCTGCAGTTTGCCTCCGGTTTTCCTGAGGTTTCCCATGGGAAACCGAAGTTCAACTTATGGGAGAAAGGGGCCTCGTTCCTTATTCGGAGTTCCTTTGGTCAACGCCCCCCCTGTAGTAAGGGTGGGGCAACTTTCCAAGGCTACCATCCCTGCCCCTTTCGGTATGCGGCGTCCCTCGGCGTGCTGCTGCGCTTTCCGCACGGCGAGCGTCCACATGGCGTTCCGGGGCCCCTTCGCATTCTTGCCGCGCACCCCGGGGCCCCATGCCGCAGGACGCCGTCCGGAACCACCGGCGACCCTCGGAGGGGGGCCTCCCTCGGCCCACCGGCGGGCCGAGGCGGGGGGAAGCGCTGCGCGCGGTCGAAGCCCAGGCGCACGGGCGGCCTGCGCGGCGCTGGGCGGCCCCCCTCTGCCGGGGTGCGCGTCCTCCCGGCGGCGCGGTGCCACAGCAGCGGCGCTGTGGACAGCTGGTGCGGCGGAAGCTGGCGCGCAGAAGTGCCGCAGGGATGCTCCGAAGTTCCCTGGGAATCGGGCCGGAAGCCCGTGAGGTGTTCCAGTATGGCGTGCAGGGGGGGGGAGAGGGTCTGTCGAGGGATGGCCTGGGGGCCTGTAGCCTATAGGCGCCCAGCCTGATGCTCTAGACGGCTACGCACGACAGCGACAGCAACATTTGGCTCGGACATGCGCCGACACTGGCGCGTGAGCCGCCCGCGTAAGGTCGCGGGAAGGCCCCCTCGCTTCCAGCGTGGCGTGCGGTGCTGGCGGCACGCGCGAGCCACCGCGTAGGGTCGCGATGCCATCTCGCGTAAGGCGTAAGACCCGCTTTTGATCGTCGCTCAAGTGGTGCGCAAAGCGGCGAGGAGGAGGAGGAGGAATGGAGGAATGGAGGAATGGAGGACTGGAGGAATGGAGGAATGGAGGAGCAGGAGGAGCAGGAGGAGCAGGAGGAATGGAGGATTGGAGGAGGAGGAGGAGGTGGAGGAGGAATGGAGGATTGGAGGATTGGAGGATTGGAGGATTGGAGGAGGTGGAGGAGGAGGAAGAGGAGGAGGAGGAGGAGGAGGCGGAGGAGGAGGAGGAGGAGGAGAAGCAGGAGGAGGCCCATGTCTCTCGGCACCCCAGGAGCCGGCCGCGGCGGCGGAGGCGCCGGGCGGCGAGGAGCAGAGCTCGGCCGCCGAGGAGCCGGCCATGGAGCAGGCGGCGGGGGTGCGGCCGCCGCCGCCGCCGCCGCCGCCGATGACGACGACGACGACGACGACGACGACGACGGCGACGACGACGACGACGACGACGACGGCGACGACGACGACGACGACGACGACGGCGACGACGACGACGGCGGCGACGACGGCGGCGGCGGCGGCGATGGCGGCGATGGCGACGGCGGCGGCGATGGCGGCGATGGCGGCGGCGGCGGCCATACCTGCTGCGCATGGAGCACTGTCGAGGTCAGGACCGTGACTGAGACACCACACGGGCGGGACGCTGGATGCACACGGCGCGGCTGGCCTGGGCGAGGGCTGGGTACGCTGTGGCCGCGCGTGTTGCCAGCGCTCGGCCCTGCAATGGCCGGGCAGGGAGGCCCTCCGCACGCGTCTCCATCGCGTGGCCTCCGGATGCTCTGCCCGTGAATCCAGCCACGTGTGCTTCCAGCATCCGGGTACAGCCGGACCGAGGTATCAGATCGAGGTCGGTTCGGGGAGGGTGCCCTCGTGTTCTGCGTGTTTGTCGGATGTGCGTGTGCATCCTGGGGAGACCTAGGTAGGGTGCCCTTGGATGTTCTGTGTGTTTTGGCCGACGGAGGGTCTCACGTTCTTGCAGGATGTTCTTCTGTCCTAGGTCCGACTGTGTCCTTGCGACCGCCACCGCGCAGGGCACACGGCGGGGGCATTTGTCAAGGAGTGTGCCCAGGAGGCGTCAGACCCTGGAGGATTCCTTACCGAAGCAGGGCGGCGTTGATCTCCACGGCCGCTCCACGAGTGGAGTTTCACAAGGGCTTCCAGGCCCTGCATGCCGCATCCAATGGTCAGGGGCCGCGATAGGCGGGGTGAAAGGCCCAGGGGGGAAAACGCGTCGACCCCCAATCGCCCATTCATCGCCGATAGGGGCCCGATGGCCCACCCCGCCCAGGAACTTGCGGACTCGCTATCGGGGGCCCATCGCCGATCTAGCGCCGATGCATCGCCGATGCCAGGTCGACGTTTCCCCCGAGCTGTTCCTTCCCCCTTCTCGTTGCCCCCCGAAGGGTTCCTCATCCCACGCCTTCGCCACTGTGGGCATTCTGCCAGAGGCGCTCAGCAAGTTTTTGTGCACGACATCCAGGCGGAGGCCCGCACGCAGTGGTACGTGTATACGCATGTGCACACGAATGCCTATACATACATACATACATACATACATACATACATACATACATACATACATACATATATATATATATATACACGACCACCCTTCGGGTGATAAGGAGGTTCGGGAGGGAGGAACCAACGTCTTTCTCGATCGGTCTCACTAACGATCTCTCTATCGATCTCACGATCGGTCTCGCTCGATCGGTGTCACTCGATCGATCCCACAAGCGATCTCGCTCGATCTATTTGATCCGATTGATCTCACAATTGATCTGACGATCGATCTCACAATCGATCTCACTATCGATCCCAATATCAAACTCACAATCGATTTTACATTCGGTCGCACTATTGATCTCACTATCGGTATCCCAATCGATCTCAGAATCGACGTCATCATCATCATCATCAACAACATCATCGTCATCAACGTCATCAATATCATCAACATCATCACCATCATTGGGACACCACCATCATCACCACCCCATCACCATCATCATCAACATCATCATCATCACCATCACTATCATCGGAACACCATCATCGTCACCATCATCATCATCCACATCCTCATCGGGACACCATAATCATCATCGGACCACCACCATCATCATCATCGTCACCTCATCACCATCATCATCATCATCATCATGAACAACATCATCAACATCGTCATCATCATCGGGACACCAGCATCATCATCAGCAACATCAGCATCATCAACATCAGCATCATCATCACGGCACCATCATCATCGTCACTATCATCATCATCACCATCATCATCATCGGGACACCATCATCATCACCAATATCAGCATCATCATCGCCATCATCGGGTCACCATCCTCAAAATCATCATCATCACTTCATCACCATCTTCATCACCAACATCGTCATCATCATTGCAACACCATCACCCGCATCATCATCAACATCATCATCATCGGGACACCATCATCACCATCACCGTCATCATCAGCAACCCCATCATTATCATCGGGACACCATCATCATCATCTTCATCATCATCATCATCTCACCATCACCTCATCATTTTCAACATCACCAGGATCAACAACATTATCATCATCGGGACATCATCACCATCAGCAACAACACAATCATCATCATCAACATCATCATCGTCAGGACACCATCATCATCAGCACCATCACCATCATCATCGTCATCACCAACATCGTCAACATCATCCTCATCATCATCGGGACACCATCATCATCACCACCATCACCATCATCATCATCACCAACATCATCGACATCATCATCATCATCATCATCATCATCACCATCATCGGAACACCGACGGGACACCGGCGGGACACCGCGGGCCACCAGCCCCCGCAGAGGAATCATTTGGTCTGGCCGCGCCTCAGCCGGAGGCGGGACACCGGCGGGACACCGCGGGCCACCGGCCCCCGGAAAGGAATCATTTGGTCCGGCCGCGCCTCAGCCGGAGGAGACTTCCTTCTCGCCCGCCCACGCAGCTTCGCCTCGCCCGCACGCACGGCACGCACGAACACGAAACCGAAACCGATTTTCCGGTATTGGGGCTCTCCGTTCCACTTCGATCTTACCCCGTCATCTCCGATATACATATATATATATATATATATATATATGTATTTTTATATGTGTATGTATACAATCAAACATGTACATATACGTTATATATATACAGATAGGTCTAAACATACGTATGTCTATATGAATTTGTGTATGCATGTACAGATATGCGCATATTCGTTCATATATTCATACGTATATGGATATATTCATCTTCTTGAAAATCGTATTAGTAACCCTCTTCTTCATTTAAATCCAAAACAACCCAATGCGTTTTTGCAGGGGTTGGGGAACACGCCAAGACCAATATTTTGGCGCTGGCGCATTCATCCACCCCTGCTACAATCTGCGTTTTTTATGTAAACAAAGGCGCAGTTCGCGGCGTTTCCTATGTGTAATACTAATAGTGCGTGTCTACCATAGGATTCCGGTTGTGGGCGATTTACAATTTGATTTTGTAATGTGCGGAATGCAAGCAGAATCTTTCTGCGCGGCGTTACGATAGGAGCCTTGTTGTGGGCGATTCACAATTTGATTTCTGTCGTGTGGGCTACAACTGGAACCCTTTTGCGTGGCATTGCAATAGGATTCTTCTGGTAGGCGGACCATAAACTGGTTTCTATTGTGTTGGCAGACTACACATCGAATCTGTCTGCGCGGCTTTACCATAATAGCCGTTCTTGTATGCGATTTACACATTGATTTCTGTTGTGTAGAATATCTTGTTTAATACGGCTTTACCTTAGGATTCTCTCTGTAGGCGATTTACAAAATTATTGTTACTGTTTGGAATACATAGAACCCTTCTGTGCGGCCAACAGGATTCGAGTCGGAGGCGTCTCACACACATACGTTTCGATATGTAGAATACAAATCGAATCCTTGCGCGCGGCTTTACAGTCGGATTCCTTCTGTGGGTGATTTACACATTGATTTCTACTGTCTGGAATACTATTAGAATCTTCTACAGTGGGATTCCTCGTCTAGGCGATGCACAATTTGATTTTTAATATGTTGCATACACATAGAACCTTTCTGCGCGTTCACCCACCGGCAATTGCGCAGCGTTTTGATCATCCACCGGTAGGCTATCATCCACCAGTCATTCAACGGCACCCAACGGGAAACCAGCATACCAGAAAACCAACATCTACCGGTAATCCAACAACAGAAAACATTACCAATGTCCACGGGCATGGCCTATTCCCAATCCGATTTCCACCGCGCGTCCTTTGTCCAGTATGCGCCCCATAAACAGCAGCATCATCCGTCCGCCCACATCCCCGGCGACTTTCCAGCGCGTTTCCCACCCCACCAATATTATATACATGTCGCCTTCGCCCTTCTCCTGACAACCGCCCCGTTTCCCCCCGCGTAAATTGCCTCGTTTTCATCGAGGTGTCTGGTCACGATTTTCAGACCTCTTTTTCTCTGCACCCATATCCTCGTCGCCAATCTCGATCCCGTCTTCGTCCTAAGCAGCATTGTTGTCATATGTTCCCTCGTCGTCGTCCCCGTGGTCTTCAATTGATTTTCTCTGGGGCCTCTGGGCCATGTTTTCGGGCCGTTTGGGAACGCCGCGGGGGCCTCGTGGTGCCTTTTTTCTCGAGCCGTCTTGGAGCCCTTGGGGCAATCTTCGGGGTCTCTGCGGTCGTGTGGGGTCACTGCGTGGTCTCCTGGAGGCCATTTGGGAGGCCCCCTGGCCTGCCATGAGTGGGCGCAAACCCGAAACAGTAGCAATGCGAGGTTCGCTAATGAGCTACAGCAGGCACGGCTTTTCGAGGAGCTGCGCAGTGCATGTGGTGCCGTACGTGAAGATGGATATCGAGGGAGCCGATCTGGCCTGCTTGGCCCGCAGACCAGTTTTGCGATCGCAATGTTGCAGAACCAGTGGACGGTGAAAGATGGGCCTACGCTGCGAGCGGCGTTCGGCGTAGTCGCGTGGTCTTTGAACGCACTCTTCGATGGCGCGCGTCCCCCCGCCGGCCACGACGACCAGAAATTCGATGACGCGGCGCGCCAGACCGACGGTGGCAAAGAAATTGCCGGCGGCTTTGCAGGGGCGCGCTTGCAGACGCGGAGCGACTGGCAGTGGCATTGCCAGGCGTTCCATTCCCGGGAATGCAATGGAATCGCATAGAAAACACGCGGTGGCTCTGCGACGCGAGCAACAGCGGCGACCTGATCTGGACAACCGCCGCAGAGAACGCGGCATCGAGGCGCGCTTTGCGGACTCGCGAGACTTACTTTCAAAG